TGGTCCCGAAGGTTGCACAAGGCTGGCATCATTAAGGTATTATAAATTACCGGCATCCGTAAATGGCAAGGAAATCGCCTGTGTTAACACAAATCACACTGTGCGCAGCTCCTGCACCCCCTGCCAAGCAGAAAACTTTAGGTGGATACAGCTTGGTATTAATACTGTCTGAGAATAGTACCTAACACTCAAAACCTGCCCTCCACCGTTCTTTGAAAACCTGTACGCACGGAACTAATACCACCTACCAAAACATAATTCCCCCTATAATTTTGTAGACAACCCCTCTTGAAACCACTTAATGACTGATATCCCATTTCACCTTTTTCTGTCCTTTAAATCCATTCAAAATAAATGATTAGAATCATGTTTCAGGGGGCTATCCGATAAAGATATCCGGCATCTTTAACTCTCACTCAAATCGCGCCAACAATTTCCTGGAGGGCCATGGGTGAAAACAAAAACCATATCAATTCCAACTCATCACGTAAACAACACCAGCAGAGGTATATGCAGCGCCCAGTGCGAGTAGAGTACAGGTTCCAGGCAAGATGTTTTCGTACAAGGTTACAATAGAATAGCAGGGATGTCTAAGACATCAAATTAATTGCACAGGAAAACACCGCAACATTAGAAAAGAACAAAGCTATGAAAAGGAGTCCATAATAATACACAGGCTAACTCAGAAAAGAAACGGCATGAGCAATAGATACTATGAGAGCTCGGTCAAGTAGAGAAATATGGAAAAACCAGGAGAAAAAAATACAAGTATTCCATTATGCGGAGTGGCCCCCAGTTGCCACACTGCCTCGCTGTTCGGAATTTTTGCTTCCCCCACCACCACCTTCAGGCTTTCTTGACAACCCTTGTACGAAAACATCTTGCCTGGTACAGCACTTGTACGAGTACCTTCTCCGGGCTAAGCGATTCCCGATTCAGAAATTCCGGACTGAGTCTGCCACGGTGTCACATTTTTGTTAACCGGAGCCATACCAAGCATCAGGGCCGGAAGGCGCAGCCTTACGATAGGCTATCCAGTTGTATGATCATACAGCAGTCTCTATCATACGGCACACCTCGGAACCTCCCAAAATCTGATCCGTGGAGTGTTTGATACCGGTACTAGTAGATTAATCTGCACAACACGTAGTCGGCATGAAAATATGCCGAAGTCACCTCTTGGTTCCTTCCGGAGACCCTTCATCCCATTAACCGAAAATTTTCAGGCTTACATACTGTAGGCCATCTTTTTGCTGCACAGTACCGGCGTAAAGCTGGAGTCATTTCACATCACGAGCATAAAACCAACAATTCTAAAGGCCCCAACCTAGCCGGATATATCGTTACCTAGTACTTTATCAATCACGGAATCGCAAATACGAGACTAGAGCCTAAAAGAGCGCTAGGCGCTTTCAATTCCCCTATAGGACATAGATTCCATAGGATTTATCACACCGGGTTAATACTAGTACTGCAGTCGTAAGATCGCAAACATAGGCGCTATGGTTGCAAAGCATTCGCACTAGTCAACCTTTTTTAACCCCCTCAACCACTTGATACAGCACATTTACCGCCAACCACTCTACCAGAACGAGCACTAGAGACCCGAGCAATACTCCCCGGAAGGCCTTCAGTGATCGAGCCCGGGATGAGAGGGGTTGGGTGTCCGATCGGGGGCTTCAGACAATGGGGGTTCAAGAGGAAGATTCTTTAAGCCTTGGTAAGCAAAAGTAGTAGGAAAAAGTGGAGTGAATGGCCAAAAATTCACGCGCTCAGGCTATTATCCTTATCGGCGAATTTGAATGCCACATGCCTATTGTGCCTCGAGAACACCAAAAATATTCTGGTACCGGATCTCGAGATATTAGGGGGGGCTGACTCCAAGGCTTTGTGCTTTCAGAAAGCCTTGGCCAGTACTAAAGTCCCCGGAATACAGACGAAATCAGCATGTAGGATTCGTGCATCGTGTGTTGTACCATAATAAGGGGTTCTAACTTATCATAGAATTCCTCCCAGTTCGAAGAGGGCCACTCCGAACTACTTCTCTCATCTTTGATGCAACCCCGACTTCTCTATTAACTCGAGTGCGACCATAAGTACAGTACTGTGGTGCATTGGTGACTGGCCAACAGGGATTAGTTTTACAGATAATACAACAAGGTGGTGCTTCAACCAAGACTTTTCGATTTGTATAGAAGAGAGTAACAATAGCGAGATGGAAAGAAAGAAAAAAAGAATCTGACACGTAGGGAGGGAAAACAACTTAGGAACGAGATGACTTCTTGTTTTGCTGTAAATAAAACAAAGGTAATAAAGGACTTATAATCTCTTCCGATCCAAGATCCCAACCCTCCGTGGAGAATATCGTATCCTCTTCCCCTAATGCTAGTACGAAAAAGTTTTCCCTTTTCAACTCACTAGTTTCTAACACTGGTCACTGCAGAAGAAAACTCTCTTCATCGACAAAACATCTCCTGTCAGGGAGCTGCCCCAGCTAGTAGATAAAACAGAACATTTTCGACACTTCCGAGAGCATGCTACGCAGCAACTCCTGATTTCCAACAATTAGAGGTGCCAAAACCTCCTCCCCGCCTGAGTAGATTTCATACCAAATCCTTTCTTTTATTTCCTCTAAGGGTATAACAGCCAGGCCTGCAATCCGTGGACGACCGGTATCCCACATCTATAGTATATTATGTTACTCGTAGTATCGCCGAACCTGGATATAGCAAACTAACCAACCCCAAAACCCACAAATTAAACAATGCACTAGCATGGGCAGACCCATCTCGCAACCACTCTTCCCAAACATAAGCCAAAAACCACTGCCAAAGCGATTACCAGCGCTCCCGCAGACCAACTCGAGCCATCCATGACCAAGGCGCTCCCGAACCCCCGCCCCCAAAAAATCCATCAAGAAACCTATCCCTCCATTCCCACTAACATTATTATCGCTCTTGGACATTAAAAATAATTTATCCAAGCAAGCTGGCTGGAGGACCTCACGCCGGATCAGAATCTCGATAAACATGTACTAAATTCACAGCACACGCGAAGCAACGTTCAAACATCCATTCCTCCCCCCCCCCCCCACCTGCCAAGGCAACATGTTGCGGGAGTGTCAATTCTCCCTATTCATCGCACTGTAATCGCCAACACCCGTTTTCCCATACCCGCTGATAGTTGGGGTACCACCCCTATCCATCCCCGTGGGTTCAACACCCAGCAGCAGGCTCGGCACTCGCTGTCACCGGCCCTGGATCCAACAAAACATCGTGATATCCTAATCGTAGCGGAGGCGAGCATATGCAGTTCACTATGACCGGCCCCCTCACACCTAAGACAGGTTGTGGCATAGTTTGTTCCCACTACCAAACCCTTGCGTTACACGAAAACTGTCCAGTCAGATAGGTTCCCAAGATAACGAGCTACTACATATTCACCAGTATGTCATTTATCTCCCATCGTGTAGATTAGATGAAGAGAAACAACCAACTCATTCCGGAGGGATGAGTTAAATCTCTGTCATCATAACGGACGGGTGAGGATCGATCTCTCGCAATACACTAGATGGCAGCTCATCATCCGTAATCTATTGCACTACCGTGGTATCGCAGAAGCATGGGCCGGGTTTGATATTTTTTCACGGTGGGGCGGCGGTCCTTTAGCGCTGCGGTGTGGAAAGAAGTGGGCAAGTTGTGAATCATAATCTGTTAGGTTCCAGGGATGACATAGCATTCGGTTTATGGCTAAAGCGCCGGGAAGACAGGTGTGCTACAAGTGATTTTAATATCCTTGAGTGTGCGCCCGCACCAGACCTAGCAGGAAGGCCACCGGAAAAGGTGTTAGCAGGTAGGGCATGGGAGGCTGGTGGGTAATTCATATTGTACATTAGAATTTAGAGCACCTAGTTGAATGAAGGAAAACAAACGGGTGATTTCCCGCGATCACAAGCGTCGAAGGAGTGAACACAAAGAGCTTACGGGATGGGAAGGTGTACAATCTCAAATTAAACAGGAAACAGTATATTGTAAAGTGAAAGGAAACAATGGAAAATAAAATTCAAAAGAAGGGTAAAAATGCCTAACACTTCCTCCGTACTTCTCTGCAACAGATCGCCACCCATTGGCTCTACTGTGTCATTCTTGCTAGCCGCGTCCAGCCCATAACTAATCCCCCTTACATCCCGACAGTCGTCCGGCCCGATAGAAACCAGTAGCCCACGCCTGTCACGCCTCGTCTAGCTAAACTGCTTTCAATGTGATTAATTACATTACCGGCCGGTCATCTCTGCGGAAAAATACTCTCCTATAATGAAGATGGATCGAGGACATGAGGGAAGCAACAGAAGTGCGAGGATAATAAACTCAAGATGCGAGAAAGTGAGGAAGAATGGGGAGAGAACTGGTGATCGATGATGATGATGATCTAGCTAACGACAGAACGGGAGATATATATCTCTTAAGAGACAAGAACTCTGGAACTCCAAAGAAATACAATGATCAAGGAACCACACCATCCTAACGAGCCATGATCCCCCATGCTCCAAACCAGAACTCTCATAAACCTCCAACAAAGAACCAAATGCCTAGAAGCATGAAAGAAACCAATCCCCATCACCAATGCCCTATGGCAATAACGTGAACATGAAACCTAACACATAAGCGCAGATCATCTCTCTGCCAATCCGCCATCCAACATGCACGATAGGCACTCCAATATCCTGTTCAAATAACAGATAACACGGGCAGTAAATTTCGGCGAGTTATCTTCCGGGCTTTCCGGAAGCGTCTAGCGTGCACCGGTCCACCGGCCCTGCATCATCACATTCTGCTTGTAACTACAGTAGCACTGCCAGGTTCTTGGCACTCAATCGGGTTTTGGGATGGCCGGGTCCAAGTATCAAGTATCTTCTGGCGCCCCTCAAGTGCACGTCGCTGTATGGTCTTGGATTCATTATACTTTCCTTGGTCTTGCAGCACCAAGGCCAAGTTTCCGACACTTGTTAGAGTGTACGGGTGGTCTAGTCCATGAATTCTCTCATAGCCCCCCAGTGCGCGGCGGTTCATCATCTCGGATTCGCTGTAATTTCCTTGATTTCTCAGCAGAATACCCAGGTCGTTGGCACTTGTTAGAGTGTCCGGGTGGTCTGGTCCAAGAATCCTCTCACTCCCTTCCAGTGCACGTCGGTGCATCGTCTCAGATTCATTGTACTTTCCTTGGTCCTGTAGGACGGTAGCCAGACCACCGACACTTGTTAGAGTGTCCGGGTGGTCTGCTCCAAGAATCTTCTCACTCCCCTCCAGTGCACGTCGATGCATCGTCTCGGATTCATTGTACTTTCCTTGGCTTTGCAGCAGCGTAGCCAGGTTGCCGACACTTCTTAGAGTGGCCGGGTGGTCTGCCCCCAGAATCTTCTCACGCCCCTCCAGTGCACGTCGATACATCGTC